GAGATAATGGTGTATCCACATTATTTAAACTTGCCTTCTGTTCATCTTTATTTATAGTCACCATAGGGACCTCGGATAAAAGCACCACTGCATCAGAGGAACATCCGGTGAAAGCTCTGAGGAAAACTTAAGTACAGTTCATAGACTGATACAAAGTTGATAAAATGCTGACTTTGGCAATGGAGAAACATTCTGAGGAGAAGGATCTGCCATGGGCTTTTAGAGGCCATCAAGAAGAAAGAAACACAGAGTTAAATCCACCAACTCTAAAAGCTGTTGTAGAAGTAAAAATAGATGCAGCCACCACCTGTAAAGGTGTCTGCCCACCAGGGGTGTGGGACAGCATGGGCTGGCAGCAGCAGCCCAGAGCAGAGGCAGCCCCACTGCTAATTCCCCATAAACTGGCCAAGTCCTCACAGCATCCCACGACTCGAGCCTCTCACAGTAAGCCTGTGAATCCCCTGAGCTGCGGAGTCAAGATCACAGCAGCATTAGCTCTAAGTATTACCTTGTGCTATGCTCACCCAGAAATACAATCCTTTTCCCTCGTTATTCAGCTGACTGCACTATGGAGGCAGAGTTGGATGTGGAAGTAATTTAATAAGTTTGTGATATGACTAGTGATGTTTGGCACACTGAACAACCAGCGATTCAGTAACTTACCAAGGTTGATTACCTTGGAGGTTCTGACGGGAAAAATAATGTTTTCCTAAAGGCTGAAGTAAATTCTACTAAAAAAACCCAGCAACACAGGACCAAAGTCAAGATGCCATTTCTATATTGCTATTGATTAAGCTCACAGCAGGACTTCTGCTCCACTGAAATGCAACACCTACTCCTTGGTACCTCTCTTTTATGCACTTTGGTCTTTACATCCCATGAGCCCTTTACTCTCACTCTGAAGAGGCAGCTGGTTCAGGCTTCTCAGCCATCCATAGAAAATTGCAGCCCTCAGAAAGAAATTATTTCCCCTCCATCAACTGATTTCCGAAGCTGAGCCAAAATAATCACACCACAAGCATACTTATAAGGTGCATGGTCACCTGAAATATGCAGGGTTCACTTCATTTCCAAGCTATATCTGTCATTCACAGTGCTTAACTGCAGGCATATACCAAAATGTTATGATAATAAAAAAGGATTTTCAACAGCATTGCTGAAAAATAAGTTAAAGCAGAAATTTAAGAAGAATTTGATAAATCTTGAAACAGGAAAAAGCTGAATGTGCAATTTCAGCATCACGGCTTTTCTTCAGTTTTTGATCCTGTCTCAGCTTTGAAAGCAGATCCCTTCCTCCAACATCTTCATGCTCTTTAAACGAACGGCCCCCCTGGACTAATGTAATCCATATGCTTACTGTTGCTTACATGCTATTTGCAAGGGTCAGCTCAGCTGAATTATGACCCCATCACGCATAGTTCCCTACTGTCAGTTACCTCTGTCACAGAAAGGCACATTTGGAGATAAAATAAACAATGTGATGAGTGCAAAGTTTATTGTATTTTCAAGAACTGGTTTTATGTACATTTTTGACAGACATCAATAGTATTTTGGTGGGATATTTGATTTATATCTTTAAATATAATCAGAAATAAGTTAGGTAAATGTAAGTGACACATGTTAGTAAAGCATCAGTTGCATATTCGTTACTGAGCAGACACAGAAGCAACTCTTTTTTTCCCTTTGAGAAATGAGAATTTTGTATTGGAGGGGACTGGATCAAGAATTTCACATGAGGATCTTCTTGTGTTTACCATTTTAGAAAGGTCCTACACTCTGCATGGTCCACTGTAGGACAAGCAGTTTTTCCTAAGGAAGATGCTGGACATGCATAAATAAATTAAGTTCTCACCCTCCCACTAAGGAAATGCAAACCAATCACAGGACAAGAAACGAACAATTAACAGAACCTTGCTTGAAACCAATGTTTTTTTGTCTAAGAAGAGGATTTGTTGTATTTATTGCATTTCCCAATGATAGTAGGAGGGCCTGCACTGCACAGAGCCAGTGTTGTGGGAAGCTGGAGCAGTGGCAGGAGACTGGGTTCCAGCAGCAGCTGCTGCAAGCATACAACTGGGAGGCAGGGAGCTGTGCTGCCCAGATCAGGATAAGCCAGAGGGAAACACTGTTCTCCAGGATGAGCTAGACAAAGCAGGAGATGGGGAGAAAGCATGCAAGCTCAGCCAGGATGCTCCACAGTCCTTGAGGTAGAAAGTAACTGCACTAGGGTGTTAAGAAGGGCTGGGGAGAGGAAGAGAGAAAGAAGCTGCTGGTGGAGCTGGGGGTGGCAACAAGCTTTTAATTACTTCTATCACAAGCACTGTGCAGTAGGAGGTGTTCAACAGCACACTCTTAAGTGTAGATCCAAAACTCAAGTGATGACCATTTCTGGCCCAAGGAAGGTGTCTCACCAGCTTTTTATAAGTAATGGGCGGTCAATTCCCTTGTGGACTTGTTCTCTATTATACACTTCACCTAAAGGACTAATATGAAGCATACTGCTGCCTAAGACTTAACACAGCCAACAACATAAAAAGAACAAGATGCTGATCCTCCATCATTTCCTAAAACATGAAGTATCTGGATGCAGACATGCATGATTTTGTTGATGTGTGTTGTGCTGTGGTTGGGTAATGCTCTAAAAAAACAAAACCCAAAAACTTGCCATAAAAGCAAATCACTAATATTTTGAAACTCCACTGACATTACATTTGTTTCCTTTTAGCGTTATTTTTTTTAACCCATGGCTGAAATATACTCTTAACGTGCCATGGTTCCCTTAGCAGGTACCCTCTGAGCATCTGAAGCTTGAGAAGCAAATAGCACATATCAAACCCACGCCTTCACACATGAAACTTTTTAGTAGACTAGCCTTGATAGCCTTTAATTTACAGTTAGGTCTAGTGGGTTCACGTTAGCTCCACTACAAGGAGATTTAATTAGTCTGTAATTTGATGCCGCAACATATCGAATACACAGACCAGTGAAGGAGGAAACGGAACCACAGAGCAAACTGAAGATTTGCATGAATCTGGAAGCAAGGACAACTGCTGTGTCCAAGCCAATTAGTGTTAATCACTGCAATGGCAACATAAATAAGCAAATAATACAGAGCAAAGGGCTAAAGCTTTGTCCATACCTGAGATACAGAAGGTCGAGGGGGCAGTGCAGGTGGTGGTGGGGGCAGCCAGCCGGACCTCACAGCTGAACAGTGGGAAAAGAAGAAGACGATGATAAAAAACTCTGCAACCAACCAAAACTACAGTAATTCAATTCTAAATAAAACCAGAATTAATTTCCATTAGAAGTTGTAATTCCTCCTGGTAAAGGGTCAATATTCAACATTTAATAATAGAAACCAAACTTGATCTTTACTGAGCAAAACCTTGTTTGAAATAACTTCATGAGTAGTGAATGAGTAGTGATTTAATTTCTGTAAAACTCCTAATGTTATGATAAAAAGATGAGATAGAAGCCAGACAGTAGCTAAAGCAATCCAATTCCAGTTAAAGAAACCCAGAAACATGGCCTACTTGTCCTCGGGACTTTGCTCTTTGTCATTAATAATATTGCCCTTCTTAAAAGTGATATTTTAGCATCCAGTGTAGACACTGGCATTCACTTCTGATAAAACGCTATAGTACAGCCTTAGAAAGCAAACATCTGCCATGGAATAAACAGGACAAAAGCCTAAAGGAACCAGAAAGAAATCCATTTCTTTGGCTTTATGTTTTGTATTTGCATGTTACTATTCACTAACAATATTTCAGAGGGAGGAGGAAAACAAATCCTAGTAGTTAGTTCAGGTCCTTTAACACAATGAAATTGTCAGCACTGAATTTGAGCCAGCACAAAGGGAGGGTAATAATCATGTAGGTTCAACCACTGTATTTCTTAGTTTGCTTAAAATACCTAAAACCCTTCATGGGACAAACTCCAGGACAGATGATGGTTTCCAAAGGCAGCTGCAGAGAGGAAGACTAGACTAGCACAGAGACACCAACCAGGACAGTAAGACTCCTTAGATGGGTTACCCTCCCCAAGCTCCTGTTGCACTGAGTGCTCAGCACTTGCACTGGCAAAGATACCAGATAGTCCATCTTGCACCAGTGTATTTTTGTATAAGAAAAAAAAAAACAAAACCAAAAACCTCAACAATAATAAACTTAGAAATGCCTTTACCACAACAATGCTGAGCAAACAATTACATTAATACACTTTTTATTTCCACACATATTTTAAAAAGCCACAAAGACCATTAAGAGCCTTGTTATAGCTTGGCCATTTATGTATTTTTTACACCAAAGCCTGAGTGGTTGAAAATACGAAGAAAAAAGATATCAACCATTCAGGATAACTCTGACATGACGATAAAAATGTGTGTGTGAAAACACTGAGAACAGTCATATTGACTATATTAGCTCCAAAGAGGCTTATAATACATTGGTTATTTTTCCATCTTCTGTATCATCATCACTTGAATCAAAATGAAGCCTAGTATTGCTGCACACAATGCCAAAGAGAGTTAGAACAACTAAAACAGAACTGAAGCTAAGCAAGGGAGCCACTAACACACCTACAGGTGTAAGAGAGATTTGAAAAACCATGGTCATTAGGATGCTTTCTCTTGCATTTCATTAGTTCAGTTTATAAGAGCACTGCAATAACAGCATGATGTCCTCACTACATTCTCCATCTATCCGGTGCAACCAATCTTTTTCTAAAGAACAGTGGACTAAGAAACCTTCCTTTCCTTTAGTCTGAACTTCAGGTTATTACTTCATTTATCTGAGTGCTGGCAGTGGCTCTGTATGTCCATCAGCTGCATGCTGTTACAGTGGAATAGCACATATGCTCAGTGTGGTATGTTCAGCTTCAGGAAACTTTGCGGAAGCTGCGCTGTGGTGCTCCATGAAAAGCCCTGTGTGCACCTTAGGGAATTATCTCTGCTCTCAGAATGGCTCTAACATTTCGGGGAGTTATGAATTACACATTTCTTAACAAGCCCGTGGCAGCCCAGACTATGGAGTGCCCTGTCACCATGAGCACAGGGGTTCCCGGGAAGGGGCATGTAGGGCCGGGGTCTGTGGTGCTGTGGGCTGGCACTGGCCCCAGAGGTCCCCTCAGCCCTTCTGAGCCCCCTCCAGGGCTTATTGTTTTCGTCTTTGCTGGTTTATGCTCCAGCAGGACCTCAAAAGCTCTACTGCAAGAGCTGCAGGCACTGAGAACTCGCTTAAACTTCAGTTGTGAGGATACCACAGTTGCCATCCTCACTCTGATTCTTCTAACCCAGCAATATACCTTGGAAAGCACCCGTGTAGTCTTTGTGCAGAAATGTTCTGGGCTTGTTGGAAAAGCAATTCCTGAAGTGGTTGGACATACTGCGAAACTTCATGAGTCTCCTGGGATTTGGCCCACAAAATTCCAAAGGGAAAAATAATTTTTTCCATTAAATAGTCAAATGAAGAAAACACACCACACCAACAAAAAACACCAAAAAAACCCCTGCTTCTTCAGCTTTCAAACACAACACATATGAATCCAGCATTAAAGAACTGAGATGCTTGCACCACATGCATTTGACCCAGTTTCCTCTTTTTAATCCTGCAAATTCTAACTTAAGCTACTCATGAAATATTAATAAAATTCCTGCTGTTGCAGAAGATCTTTGGCCTGTTGTTAGAAGGAAATCATGCCTATGTGAGCACAATTACTAGTGAAAGTTAGTTGACTTCTGAGGACTCATAACAACTTACTACAAAAACCCCATGCTTCAGCCTTCTCTAGTGTCACTACTCTAAAAGAGGACAGTATTAACAGATACTCATAGGTTTTCATGCATACTGGCAGGTGAATAGTTTTATTATTACGCTATTCCATTACATCTTCCTTCCTGGGAGAGTGCCCTGCACAGATCAGCTCTCACTGTTAGAGATGGCATCACCAGTTAGCTCTCAAAGCAAACATAAATACAAGGAAAGGTCTGTTTCCAAAATAAAAGCAAGTACCCTGGGATTGAGCAGCAAACAGACAAATGTCACACTTCCAGCTGCATGCCTCAGAGTTTGGATAAGCTGCTTGCCCCAATCTTTGAAAAAAAAGTCTTCATACCCTGTGCAAAAGTTGAGGGAGCTGGATGGGCCTCACACAGGTCCTCTTGCTACTGAGCAGCTTGGTGACATTCAAACCAGGCTGAGCTACAGAACCATAGAACAGTTGGGCTTGAAAGGACCCTCGTGATCCAACCCCCCTGTCACATGCGGGTACATCTTCCCCAAGACCAGGTTGCTCAAAGCCCCATCATGTAAAGCAAATCCCACAGACAGCAGTGTGGAAAGCCCATACAGATTTAAGTATCATATATCTTCCTGTAAGTGACAGCATTTTCATGCACTAGTTACTCACACAAAGATAGAGATAAGGCTTTCAGTTCAAAAATCACGGCTTTTTACTTAGCATGTTTACACTTTAAGACAGATTATCTGCATGGAAACCTCCCAAGACCATTTTTCTGCCCTATTTTGGCAATCACAAAGGTTTGATAGTACTAAAATGACACCACATTAGATTAAAAAAACAGGTTTTCCAATCTGAAGCAAGATTATTATTTTAAAACAAACACCAGGCTGTAATTGTAGACTCTGAGAACTGGTCATGCCATCTTATCTGGCCACATTGCTGCTCTTCCTCCAGCCTCCCTAGCAGATAACACAAACCCTCAGCACTTTCATTACTTGTGGTAGTGAAAAATATCAAACATAGTAACCACACAAATAGCTCCTTTACTTGACTTACTTGACCTAGGAAGAGGAGACAAAGGAAAAAAGTAAGTTATGACAGCCCAGTCAAACCTATGGGAAGTAGCAGCAGTGGAGGATGCCAAAACTAGGATGGAAGAAATCTGGGCCCATAGGATCCCTTAGAGCAACCTAAGAGCAAGGTACTGTACTTCTCTCACTCAGTAACAGTCACTTGTCCCCTTGTTTTTCAATATTGAAGAAAACTGCCATAATACACTGAGCTTCTGGATGTCTGTTATTTTTTTAAAATTAGTTAATACTGCAACAGCAGCATATACAACTACACTTCCTGAAACATTTCCATAACAGGTGTTTATTTAATATTCATGCTTTATATGTGGCTGACACCTTGGTTTTGATGTCTATCACCATAACTGGGTATCATATCAGACAAGTTGGGTGGAAAAAATGTACTCCTTCCTTCCCATCTGA